AATGATAAGTTTTCAGATTTATGCTGGTGTTGACCTCACGAGGTAGAGTGAGAAATTCTGTGCCATTTACAATGTAAAGTGGATCCATACTTTTTTTTTCGCTTATTTCAGATTAGGGTTTCCACTACCAGATGGGTTTTTTGCAATTCAACCTCGAAATAATACCGACCGACGACAACCTCTAATTCGACAAATTACATTTTCGACCCTTTCAGTATACCGAAAGCAATACCGTCGAGATGGCAAAGATTTCGTGAGTTTGCCTTTTTCACAATCATTACGGCCTTGTGGAGTCAATTTGTGGAGGGAATGCGCAGGAACATCGACGAGGGGGAAAGGTCTGAAGAATAAGAAATTGGGAGAATCTAAGCTTGATTTTAAGGATGGCAATGGATCATTGAGGCCATGCGACAGGAGAATGAAATTTAAAAGGATTGACAACTAATGTGATGGTGTTAATAGACGTGGAGCCCCTGGTGGCAAGCTTAAGATGACTCTCGGTCTCCCAGTGTGAGTTTTCACTTCAATTTTCACGCCCCGCAATCTGCGATATCGAACAATTCGACCACGATATATTTCCTGATTATGCGAACCTACCATTTTTCGAATTCGCAATACAATGAAGCGCAAATACTGACTAGAAAAATAGCGGAGCCGTCATGAACTGCTGCGACAACTCCGGTGCCCGTAACTTGTACATCATTTCCGTCAAGGGTATCGGTGCCCGTCTCAACCGTCTTCCAGCCGGTGGTGTCGGTGATATGGTTATGGCAACTGTCAAGAAGGGAAAGCCTGAATTAAGAAAAAAGGTTATGCCAGCTGTCATCGTTAGACAGTCAAAGCCATGGAAGAGAACCGATGGTGTTTTCTTGTACTTCGAGGACAACGCCGGTGTTGTGAGTAGAGAATTTTCCTATACATTTACTTGGGCAGGGGTGCGGACAGAATACCCAAGTTGAGGCGATGAATATCGATCGACAAACACGACTTGATTCATTGAATCTGGGGGACAAATTACGAAATCTGAGCGATGAGGATGAAATAAATGCTGACGAAATTCCTACAGATCGTCAACCCAAAGGGAGAAATGAAGGGATCCGCCATCACTGGACCAGTCGGAAAGGAAGCTGCTGAGTTATGGCCAGTAAGTCACCACATTCTGCTTCTTGTTATGTGAATTCCAGCGACTAACCAAGTATCAGCGTATTGCCTCCAACTCTGGTGTCGTCATGTAAAGAGGGCTGTTCTTTTTTCGGGGTTCACAATGTCAAATGGATGGAAGTCATGGATGAATGGAAGGGCGTTGCATCATTGCGTTAGGCCTACTTCACGTACATACACTAAGACTTGCCGGTCGATTATGAAAAATTGATTCGGCTTCCTACCAATGCTGCGAGATTTTGGACGAATTTGTGATGTGCTCATGATTGTGGTTGGATTGGAAGAAAAAATTTGGTTGACACTCGGTCGATACGCGGATAAATTTGGATGGACTGCAGGATGAAGCTCGAGAGGGGATATTATGGGGAACAAGCAAGTGCCACATTGGCTGAAGAAGCCTAGACGAAATACCGACAACAATGCAGTTTCCAGAATCCAAGATTTACCCTTCCACGGCTCCACTAAATTGCTCCAATGGATTATTGCAGTTTGCAAAACAGCTTGATTGAGAACATGTTGGCTGACTGCAAATCCCTACGTCGAAATCATCTCATCAAATGAACACCCAGTCACAGAACAAATATGGAAGCCATCAGTCAAGCTCCAGATCATTCGGGTACAGTATGTATTGCTGTGGTGTATTGTTAAACCTGCTGCCAGTTTATATCTATCCCAAAACCTGCACTCCATGCCGTGCCCATCGCTCAATGCAGTTCTTCCTACCCAAGTAGCGCCCAATCAAAACATGAGATATGCAAATGATGATACAGAAATACAGAAATAATTCACAACCTATTTTTTAAGGAGACACATCCGTCCAGTTCCTATGCCCATGCTCCTACCAACGCCATTAAACAACTCCCGCCCAGGACTGCCACAAAAGCTTCCCATCTTCTTCGTCCCTTGAGGATGCCATAACTCTTATCACTTAAGAAATCCTCGGCCAATAACTGTACTAATCCCGCAAATAACAATAATCCACTGCTAATAGCATTCATGAAACCTACCATCAAGAGTCCAGCCGCTGAATGCGGATCATACAAATTATGTACAATGAGGCCAATAGCCTGACCAATGGGCGTCGTAGTTCCGTATGCGAGAACCATGAGCCAGGGACGAGGAGAAGAGGAGGGGAAATTAATAGCGGCGATGCGAGATCCAAGGGCGAGTCCTTCAAAGGATTGGTGGAAGGCGATTGCGACTAGAAATACGACGAATGGAGGGCCAGTGGCTACGGAGATGGCCATGCCGATAAAGATGGAGTGGAAGAGGATGCCTGCTTCAAGGAGGAGACATTGTAGTATTTGCCGTTTCTGGGAATCTTCTGCCGAGACTGGGGAAGAAGAGCTGGTCTCTGGGTCGTGTGGAGAATGTGCAGGAGCTTTTGAGAGGGGATCGTCCAGCTCGTCGAGTTCGAGGTCAAGATCAGAATCGTCGTCTGAGATATTGACGTCTTGATATTTCTTGCGCTCGGAGCTCTCGGTAGGTCCAGTTTGAGGTGTTGAAACAGGGAGGGGCGAGACTCCTGCCACGAGTCCTTCGGATTCTCCCATGTCTTCCAAGGCTATATCTTGCGGCCGATGATTTAGACCAATCTTTCCTAATTTGCCGTTCGCTTGCTTCCCCTTTTTCTTAGCGCTCCCGTTTCCTTGTGCTCCTTCATTCTCCCCTCCGGGCACAACGTCCCAGTTCCCTCCATGCGAATGTGAATGGCCTGCTCCTCTAGTCGTTAAAAACATCTCTAGTCCTACAACTACTAATGCACTGAACATTGCAATAAGTCCTGCGAGAGGATGATATCCATCGCTGAAAAAATAGGGCAGACATGGATCCGTTAGGGACATGAAAGCTGTTGGTAATAAATGCACGAATGCTGTAGCTATAAGGACTCCGGTTCCAAAATGTTGAGAGAGAAATATAAAACGATTCGGGCCTTCGGATTTCGAGGAACGGCGAGAAATCAGGGGAAATCCACACGCTGTGCGAGAAGATGTTAGTCGGCACAAAGTGGGAAAGGGTAAATGTGGCATACCGATTGTACTCAGTACAAGTATTAGCACAAGCGCATATACATGTGCCGACGTATTATAACTACCCTTAACCCCCGAACCACACACGGGTTTCTCTGGAACTCCGGGTTCATCTTGTTGTTGTTGCCGTCGTGCTAATTCGGCCAAGAGATGAGATGTAGACCAGGACGAAACTAGGGATATTTGTTAGGTCGTCGCATATTGGGAAAATAGAAAAAGGAATTTACCATCGCGATTGACGACCATCTTGAGGGTTGCAATGTTATAATTGTAATATATATCGCAAAATCATTGTGTGTATGTGGGAAAAATAAAGGAAAGGCTGTCTTTTGGAATAATACGAGTACTTTTTGGTTTGGCGGAGTGAATGATGTTCCGAACGCTAGGGAGCGTTTCATCGTTTTGTCTGGGCAAGGGTAAGGGGAAGGTACTTGGCTTCATCAAAAAGTGTTTTTGCTTGCGATGGCAATCATCAATTCGAGTGGATTGATATACTTAATGGCAATGAATTCTTCATTGCATATTTGTTGTAATGTTCATGGTGATTTTTCGGCCATACGATTGCATTTGCAATGCCTTGCTAAAAACATGAGGCCACTCCATGAAGCAACCAAGGAAAAGACAACTTAACTGCATTGGATGTGATCGATATGGAAAACACGCATCATATGAAGTCTACCTAGAAGTTTTTTGTATCTGGTTTAAGTCCATCTTAAGCTCTTAAGCTCTCAGTACGAGCGATTAGAGATTGCTCCTGTAATTCAAACAAGGTGCGAAAAGCTACTCGGGGACGGGTGATGCTGGAATGCTTGAGAAGCTTCATTACTTGAAGGACCTCATACTTCTCAATCTTAGAATGGATCTCAGCAGGTCTTCAGGTTCGGGTACATATAAATCTGATGCTATGTGTATGATGCTTCGTGTGGCGATGGTGTCAGGCGTACTGAAGACGGGATGTAAGAAGCGTCAGAACTATTGTCCAATAGGTTATTTCCCATCTCGACTTCGCTCTCTCACCTTTGAAATAAAACGGATAAACTATATCGTATGCTCTTTCTTATTTGGATTCGAGACTAGTGCTCGATCAAATGGATATTCACTATACGTTTAGAGACTTGATTTACTTACACCCCCGCCGTCGCCCTTCTTCCCATTAATTTTTTCTTCTTCCTTACAACCTGCTTCTTGCCGAGAGTATCGATCCCCATCGATAACGGCAATTACTTATTTCATACTCTCTGGACTCAATTCGTTCTTCTCAAGCTGGTGCAGTTACTCTAAAGGATAGATAGATTCCGGGAAATCGCAATCTACCGCTTCAGAGTATGCTCTGAAGTCACCTAACCAACTGAAGAGTTCGATCTATCCTTAAATAGCTCGTCATATTCGTGAGATCAGAGAAAGCACAACTTCTTGATTCTTTATTCTTTTCTATCATTATCATTATTATTACTCGATCTCCATAATCTGAGTCGCTCAAGGGCAGCACTTGTAAGACGCAGTTGAATCTCGAATATCGCAAACAGCACCAGCAAAAATTTCCTGTTCTGCGAGTTGTCTTCAGTTTGATTGACGTTCGCGAATCCATTATTATCTCTTCACGTTCAGGAACCCCAAAACTTCATTTCGTTATCATTCCATCAATTCACAATAACATTGCCGATCTTGCCAACATTCTACGAGAACTGAGTGTCATCGCCTGGCCGAGAAAGAATCTGGCATTTAAGCATTTCCAGTTGGCTGAACGCGTTGAAATCTTGCCTGGGGCTTGAGCTCATATCTCGGAATTCGAAATCACAGTTTTGAAGAATGGCAGACGAGCATCACGATGTCATAGAGGGCGCAGACGCAACCAAGCTCAATGCAGACTTTAATGCTACTGGGCATGCATCCACCATAAGCGATTCTAATCATGAAGGTATGAGATCGGCCATTTCTGCATTCGTAGATTGTAGCTGATGATGATACATACAGATGACACAGCGATCGATGGTACCCCTGAAGTATTGGCGCCAGAAATGAATGCAGATACATTAAATGAAGATGTAAGTGCCTCGAGTGAACAAGGAGACGGTGAAAATACTCGAGCAGACACAGGTTTGTCTAAAAACGGTGAAGAGAGCGAGCGTCTTCGTGAAAATACCCAGCAGACTGATAGTCCTGATGATTTGCAACCTCAACCTGGCAGATCCAAAGAAAAAAAGTCTTCACTCGCCAAAAAATACGTCTCCTTCAGCAGTGGCGCACTCATCAAACGTTTACGAAAGCCTGGTAACCTGTCTCCGAGAGAACTTGATTATATCGCAGGCCTTCTGAAAAAAAAAAACAGGTCCAGTGATTCATCATGTTATTGAGAAGAAAGTCCGGAGAAGTTATGGTTCTGGGAAAAAGAGATATCATCCAAAAAATCCTGCCGAGGTACTCGAACTTTTACGTTACATGCCATTACAAGCAGATCTTGGGAAGGCTAATTCTCAGGAAGAAGACAATCGCAGGTGGGCCGTGGTAGACTCCCAAACATTGCCTCGCATGGAAACCAACAAAAAGGAGATAACATGCCCAGGACTATTCATGCGATTACACGACGCGTCCAGTAAGTCCAGGTCAGACGATGATCATCATGGCTTTCTTTCGGCAGCTTCGGCCTTGCCTCTCCGCACCAAAAAGGAACGCCAAGATTTTCTACGTTTTCATACCTACTGGAGACACCGAGGTCTTACTCAGGGTATTTCGGTCACAAGTCACTTGAGTATGCTTACGTCTGATCACATTTTACCGCGCTTTTATGGCACCCGAAAGAAGACTGAAATGATCTGTGCAAACCTGACTCTCATCAACGGCTATGCGCAAACTGCGGCTGGATTTCCAATCTTACGAGTGACCGATGAAATGCGGCATTACGAAGTGGTTTCCCTCTATGGCGACCAGGAGATGTACGGTATCAGCTTCTTCGAAAATGAATACCTTGTTCCATATTGTGTCGTTCCTGATGCCATCATTACCACTTACAAATGGCGAGATATCGAAAGTTGGATGAACCAGAGCAAATGCAGCTATCAAGATTGGTACACGACATGGGCAGTTCCAGCATATCAAGCACATGAGAAGGCTCGTGTAGAGGCTCTTGTGGCAAACCCAGACATGTATGAAGACGTCGAGTCTATTTTTGTCGACGATAAGACAATTGATGAGCTAGAAGCCTTGTTTTCTGCCCCTATCAAAAACCCGCGTGCTCCTAGAGGGTCTCGACTACAATCCGAGGCAGAAAACTTCAAAGCATCTGATTCTGATGAGAACCTTGATTCAAATGGCGTGGAGCGACGTTGGGTTCTTTACGGACAGTCCGGCGATGCAGCTACTTAAAGACCCATATTTCTAAACCTAAGTACTTTCATTTTTGCGAATCGGCGATCGGTAATATCAAAAATATTTTCTATATTTGCAGGGATACAACATGAGCCGTGCCATCTGGAGCTGGACATAACGTTAAATGGGGTTGATCTGGGGGTAACATTTTTTTTGAAGCTTTTCGCGTGAACAACTTAATATGACTTAATCAAGTCAGTTGAAATAAGATATCAATAAACAATTAGCAGTCATCATTTACAAATAAACTTCATGATCATGCCAAAAGATCTTCTCACTCAATTTCCAATTTTTCATGCTCTGAAAGTAAGTCATCCGCGTAATGGAATAATTTCAAGGATCCAGTGATCAATATTCTACATTGACCACAAATACAATCTCGTTCTTTCAGGATAGGGCTATCTGATATCTTGTCGGGAAGCTTACCATCAGGAGTATGTAAGCACTTCCGACCGTGATATTGTATGATCTAATTACGCATACATGAAGGGATTGCCCGATGAATGTCGACTGCAAATTTGGCGATCGATTTTACCCTTTGTGTTCAAATTCCTTGCATCAAAAAGCTTAGCTACATATATGCAATCCTAGAATGCTGTGACAGTCCTGTTTTTGTCGACATCTAATTTATCATTCCATTGTGTAGGAGCTTGACAAATGAATATTTTCGTGCCTTTATTCCAATTTCCCAGTACGACATACAAAAGTCGTATCATTCATAAGATTGTCACGAGAAAAAAAAAGTTACGTTGTATTTAGCTCACGATAAATTACATCCCTCCTATTTATATGTATCCTAGTTGGTAGCACCCAGCCTTATTCTTACGTCAACGTGAAACTTTCTGCTAACCATTTTCAATGCGGCTACAACTCAAACAAAGCATCGCCACATCCCCGCATCTTAACATCTCGGAAATATAAGAACTTTAAACCTATTCTCGGCTCCATAATTTTTCTTCTTCTTCATCGCTGACTAAATTTTCTTCAGTCCCAGACTTATAATTTCACTAGGCCTCGGTGAATGTCACCTTAAATCCTTCCCCTTTCTCGCTTAGTAAAGGTAGCAAAGCGAACCACTTGAATTAAATTCCGCAGTTCTTGGCACGTATGAGTGTGGCGTCTTATCATGGTGGATTGAACGAGAACTTCTGATCCCTTGTTTGAGGATTGCGACGGGCAAATTAACTTTGAGGAGTAGGAGTAAAAACACGTGAAGACAGCTGACTGCTGTAATTGCGCAATGTTGTTTAAAATACAAGGGGAAATTGTGCTACGGTGGTGTACTTCTCGGCAAGACACTAGCATCGGAGAGTTCGAGGAACAATTCTTTAGGCTTTTAGCGTCTCTTTGTTGTACGGATTCCCGGATAATGTTCGTTCTTTCAACAACGTCTTTCAACCTTTTAACTTGGCGATTTTGAAGTCACTTAGCATCGAACAGGTCTTCGAGGATAATTAAATTCGCGACGGATTGCAATATATAAATAGCACAATGGGATAAATTTCCTGGTGCCCCTGGAGGATCGGATAGATTCGACATTATGATCAAAGGATCATTGTTCGGGGTTCAACTCCAGATGCTTTCTTTGGATTGTGCCTGATTTCCTGTGCCTGAGCTAAGCCTTATCATATTTCGAGCTGTTTCATCCCACACAGTGCTTTTGCTCAGCGATATTCTGTATCGTGGGCCAATGTATCGACATCAATAGATCTAAATCTTGTCATGGAGGATGTTTCCATATTCCTCTACATCCATGATGAGAAGTCTCATTTCATTAACCTTCCTTCAAATCTCTCGAGATGTATATAGAGTTCCAAATAGTCCATCATTTTAACATCATTCTATTCTCATCAACATTCAAACATCTTTCTTCAGTCTCTTTATTCACATTCCTTTGTAACCAACTCACCACATACACTCCTTTTATTTAAACATTCTCTCCTTCCAACAATCTTTCCAGACCTTTCCAGAGTCCTTCTAGAACATCTTCAGTAGTATACACTCATCATTCAATATGTTCTCCAAAGCTTTCATCGCCCTCCTTGCCATGGCATCGGTCTCCTTTGCAGCTCCAACTCCTGTTGCAGAATCCACAGCTGAGAACCTTGTCGAGCGAGCTGTCGCTTACAAGATGTTCACCGGTGATGGATCCAACTGGCCTGCTATTTCCGCATGGACTACCTTTGAGACCATGTATGTTCTCTTGTTTACCCGTGAAACTAATCACTTTATGCTAATATAAAATTCCAGGTGGGCCAACTCCCAAGCCGTCATGACTATCTCCTGCAACCAATTCGGCGGTGCTGCCAACAACTCTCCCGCTGAAATAGCCAACATCAAGTCCGCCATTACTTCAGTTGCCGCTTCTTCCGGTGTCGACTCCCGATTCATCCTTGCAATCGTCATGCAAGAATCCGGGGGCTGTGTTCGCGCTCCCTCTACATCCGGACAGGTCTTCAACCCTGGACTCATGCAAGACCACAACGGTGCACACAGCTGCAACATGAACGGCAACCCAATAAGCCCATGTCCAGCTGCCACCATCACCGGCATGGTTAAAGATGGAACAGTTGGTACCTATGGGGTCGTAGGTGGTGGTGACGGATTGCAACAATGCTTGACCCAGAGTGGATCTCCAAAGACTGCTCAAGGTGCCTATGCCGCGGCTAGAATCTACAACTCTGGAACCTATGTCAAGGGAACCGATCTCGGCGCACCACTCTGGGGTACCAGCTGTTATGCTAGCGATGTTGCAAACAGACTTTTGGGATGGGCCGCTCCAGTCACTCCTTGCGTTCTCAAGAACCCGGTTCACTAAGCGGTTTGCATTATAGACTTGGGTATTTGGATAATCTCTTGATGCCTATGAAAAGTTTTGTTTGGAATGTCTGGTACTGTAGTTCAGTATCCGAATTGTTTTGGATTTTGGCGGAAGGCTTTTTGCATCGATTTTCCTGTGTTATTGTTTTTGTTTGTACTTCTAAATCGAGACTGGATTCTGTTTGACTTTTTTGTATTCTTTTCATCATGATTCCTAGAATGGGAATGAGTTGGGAGGGAAAAACTGCTTTCGGGGCATATAAACGTATATCATAGATATCCTCTGCAAGAATTATCACGTTTGATTTCATCCTCATTTGCTGCTTTATATATATTTCACTGCAGTAGAACAGACTTCATAGAATAGACATCACATATAGAGATAAATATGGATTTTATAGCATGTTGTTACTTTCACTCTGCTTTGACGGCGCCAATTGACTTTGTCTAGTGCAAGCTTTGCAAGGTGGGCTAGAATGGCATGATATTGAATGACAGGTGGTTTCAATAATACATTCGTAGGACCGATTCGCGAATGGAAAACTGGCGTTTTGCAGCTGAAATGCATGACATTGTCAGCGCAAACCCTCAGTTATACCCTCTGAAGATTTTTAGTCAGTCTTATGGTCATCTCAATTTCACAACCATCATTCTCAGACATGTTTTGAACGTTTGGAATTATAGATTCTTGCCATAAATCTCACCCGCACAGCCAACCCAGGATAATAACTTGGTAACACGAAATAGATGTACACTAGAAATATGTACACTCCCAAGTTTCGCAATGAAAAAATCACACATGGCTAATACTGAAACACTCAATCGGAATTATCCCCGTTTTCCAGTTTCACCGGTCCTGGTTTCCTCCCATAAAAGACGACCCTAGATTTTATCAGTCCCAATTCCTCTTAAAACACATAATGATTATCCAAGCTAAAAAAGAAATACAAAACTCACACATCAACATAAAAATTAATCCTCTTATTTTGGAGATCCTTCCTGACACCCACCAACAACATTTCTACCTGTTCGGGAGTCCACCCCAACCCCGCCGTCAAATTCCTCATCGTCATTCCTTCAATACCATCCAACAAATTCTGCTGCGTCCACATTGCTAGCAACCTTTCCTTCTCCCCTCCGACCCACGGATTACACGGCCAAAAGAAATGTTTCTCAACGATATCCACGAACCCGGCCTCGGCCATCCATTTTCCGTAGTGTCTTGAATTTGTTACTTTACGTCCGCGATGCTCGGCGGCGAGACATGATACTCGAACCCATTCTTCAAGAGAGGTGCCGTTTATCGAAGAGTCAATGCTTACTATAGGCATTTGCGGGTCTTGCATCTCAAAGTAACCGCCGGGACGAAGGGAGTCGTAGGCAGAATTTATTACGCCGGCGGGATCACTGAAACAACAGACCATGGCCCGGCCGTGGATATAGTCGAATTTTTGAGAGTAGTTCCAGGGTTCTTCTGCGTCGTTTACCTCGAAACTACAATTTGGAGGTACACTGGAGGCGATTGTTAGTATGGGAGGCGGAGTTTTAGATTGGTATAGTGCGTTACTAGATCGGTTGAATTGGACTGAGATCTGTGCCGATTACTTGCGCTGAAGGATATTTCTGGGCTAGAAATGAAAAAAAAAAGAGTTAGTCGCTTTCATCATTAATAGCATATCGAATAGGCGAGTGGTAAAATGGCCTTACCAAACTCTGTTGCCCACAAGCCAGTTCCAGTTCCAATATCTAAAACATTGTGGAGTTCAGAGGGAAGAGGAGCAAGATGTAATACTCCATCAAACAACAAAGAGAACAAGTGATGTTGCAAATCTGAGATCGTTAATTAATGCAACTACATTAATCACACGATATGTCGTGCCATAGTTGACTTACCCAATCTCTCTTGCTCGGCATCATCATTAGGGAGAATATACTCTAAACGCATGTCAGCTACTGAGCAGGCAAAACCATTATGTATTCCGTTCAAACTCACTTCCCGAATTATATGCGTGATATGTCCGTCCATTTTCCTCTACATATTCGTACACACTGTCTCGTATAGAAGCTGTAGAACTTCTATATCAAGTATCAGCTGCTATGTCGTGCTATTTGAATTATAAATAGACAATCCTGCCCACATGAATGAATCACCCATGGCGGAATCTGCATCACTATCATTTGAAGACTGATCGTGTATTAGTCTTGATATCATGCATCAATATTTTGCAACTCACCTGTATAGAATCTACCTCCAATCCCGGTGCATCGGCTCTTTGTGGTTCTGTTCCTGCACTACCATGATGGCCATATGAGGATGTGTGAATGTCAGTCGTCACGTTATGATTGGAATGTATGTTAGTAGACGGGATGTTCTCTGTTGAATCTAGGTTGGTTAAAGATACCGCGTCCACATCGGTTTCATTCGGCCTCGAGATGGCTCCCTGGATATTTGAAGAGTTTGACATCAAATCCAATTGTTCACCTTCAGTATCGTTCATCGATCGGAATTGTTGATCTGGATCCAGATCCGCACTTGACCCTTCCATATCTTTCAAAAAAAATAAGTACAAAAATCAGGACGTTGTACGTTCAAGCCTTATCAGATTTCCGCTTATATGATCGTGTGCAAAAGATCTCCGAGATATAAACGGCCTCTTTAACGGCCGGTGCAATCGTACCGATAAAGTATCCAAGTAAATCAGCTAACCAAAATCCACAAGATATATTCCCCGTCAAGCTCTCGTGCTAATCTGTTCTTCAATAAACAGCTGTCAAAGGCCCTCTAAATAAGCATAAAGCGGAGGGATTTTCGGCGGTTGCTATTTACGGGTTAATGAACCGCTAATCCTTGCTTAACTTTATACAGCCAATGGCAGCCAATGAGACCTACTCCTCTACGTGCTTGTCCTATTATCAGTCCCAGCAGCTAGTGAGATAAATCTTTGCGTTATCCTTGGGCTATGAGATGTGCTTACATGACCTTCAAAGGGCTCATCTTGAGCAGTCTAGGAAGGGATCAAGGGGTAGGGACCACCCCGGCAACGAATATTCAGGAATATCGTAGGTGTGTGTTTATCAGGTCTTTCCCTTATAATTGTGTAATTTTCCACGAAATGACCAACAAACGCGATCCCAAAACTACAGTCTCGCCATCCACTCGAGAGTTGCCATCTCATCTATCCCGCGAATGATTTTGATCGTCAATGCCACATAAGATATCAGACATTGAAGGGTGTTTGTCGCCTGAAGTATCCAAGAGAGTACGATATGTATGAAAGTTCATTCCAAATTGCACCTTCACAATCCTGCGGTGAATATGGAACGACAATTGAACGACAAGCAATATAAACGAAGTGAAAAGGTTCTCGGGAGAAAAGGAGTGTCTCGAAGATTTATACAGGTACTATGAACCCATATTTTGTAACCCTTGGAACTTCACAAAACATCATGGCAGATCAACAAATTATAACAGTTGAATATTTACAATCTAAAAATATATACAGGAGAAGCTTAAGCTTTTAAATTTACACATCGCCCACCAGTTCTCGTCAACTTTCATTAAGCAGGATGTAAAATCATGACTTTCATGCCATTTACTCGTCAATCATGACCCCTTTGCACAATCTAGTAGACTGGCATTGGGAAGGAGTCAAAGTCGTAGATCCAACTATCAATGGAAGCTTGATCGTATTCGCAAGCCATGGTAGTTCCATTGTTAGACCACATTGGTCTCAATGGCCAAGCGCAAATTTGTTGTTCCTCTCCCTCGAACTCGCCTTGGAGAACTGTGGCATTGAGAGTAGTAGGTGTTTTGCCATTCTCGACCCAGTCGATCAAAACAGCGAGGTTGGTTTGAGGGAATGGTCCATTGGGCTGATACGAGTTGGTAGCACAATGAGCTGCTCCGGGAACCAGGAAAAGACGATACCAGTCGCCGAGGGCCTCGGTACTCTCATTGAAAGTCATGTTGGGATACATGACAGAGCGGACAGACTCGTGATAACGGACAGATGAGGCGGTAGGGATACTATTGTCTGATTCACCATGGAAGTGAAGAACCTTTCCACCTGCTGCTTGGAATGGGGTGAGGTCGGGCCAAGTGGTTTGCAATGTATCTTCATACATTTGCCATCCGGTGTACATCCAATCTCTAAGTGTGTCGTAGGTGACGTTGTCGAAGGTACCAGCATCAAAGGTAGAGGCATCGAGAAGTTCAACAAAGCGTACAGGGAACTCAGATCCAAGCGAGCTGATAGACAACTCCCAGCTGTTGGTCTCATCATTGTATGTGGTGGCAGCGTCATCAAAAGCTGCAGCTGGCTGATAGGATAAATAAGCCCTGCGACCTTGGGTGTCGCGGAGACCGTCGATAATCTTAGCAGCGACTGCAATACCTTCAGCCGAAATAGTACCATTTTGTGCTGGAAGTGTGGGCTTAGGGTTATATGGGTTTGTAGAAGCGGGAGTTGCAGCACATGAATATACCCCACCAAGTGTGGAGTTCAGATCGAAGTTTAATTTGCAAAGATCTGTACGGGCAACAACACCATCTGTCCTGCCATCCATAGGATCACAAGCAGCGATTGTGAGGTTCGCAATCATATCCAGCTCACAGGGTGGTGGATAGTAACCAAGGGTTTTTTCAACCACGTTGGAGTAAAGATGCTGGACTTGTTGGTGGGCAAATCGCATGGCTGGAGCACCTGTGATAGCGCCATCCCATTCATCAGCGTAGCGTTGAACCTGACTCCATCCTTCACGTCCACCCTCGGAGCATCCCTAAGATAGTCAATAATCAGGTTCTCGATACAGAAAACGACACAGGAAAACATACTTGATAGTAAGAATAAAGCTTGCTGTCTCCCATGCCGAACACATTCTTTGTGAACTGTTTTCCGATCAAGCTCAATTCGTGGTGGGCTTGATAGCCGAACATGAAAAGGGAGTCGTAGTTGGCAGTGCCATTGGCAAGGGGAAAAGTGGTGTCGAAATTGTTAGTGAACCCCCAAAGCCTCCGTCTGTGATACCTGCACTGGCACCATAGATAATACCACCAGGAAGTGATTGGTCTTGAGAATTGATCGCATAACCACCACCTCCAGTAGACAAGTAGCGACCCTGGAAGTTTGCTGGGGCCGGCAACCAATACTGGACAAGTACTGAATCCTCTCTTCCAGTGTGAGAATAGGTGAAAGTTACATTACAATAACTGATTATCGCATCTGGGAAGAAGGTATTGCCAGTAGTAGTAGTGTTGGAGACTGCGTTAGCCGTGACGGATGCAGAGTTGAGAGTGATGGCAAGGCCAATAGTAGCGGGGTCCGGAAGGGATTGTTGGATGTAGGAGGTTGTGCAGATATCACTGAGAGTAGAATTTGCTGCGGCATTAACAATGCCAGCGGATGCAGCAGCAGTGACTGCCAAGGTAGAAGAACGCATAGTGACTTGTTGATATCTAGAGAACAGAGAAGTAGGATATCACTGGCGACTGAAGAGCTGATGAGAAATGAAAGATTCTATGGGAAGAGAAAATACTTCAGATATATACTTGGTGTCCCATCGGACTTTGCCAGGATCTAGGCTTCGAGATAGAGCTAGAGCCATGTATTTCGACACTTAAGATATTTGGATTATTTCCCCTGCAGTAAAGTCTTCAGGGTCGATGCATCCTACCGTCTATGGGTGACGTAAAAGGCAAAGGGGTCTCCTTCTTGTCGCATTAATATCGGGCGGAAATAAACCAGATGGGGTATGGGAGAAGTCAGAATCCATGTTCGAAATTGTATATTGACTAGCAGGGTGCCACGATCGGTCCCCACAATGCTGGCACAGGGCTTCCTATTTGGCGAGGAATGCAGGAAACGGATGAATGCGAACTATTCATCATCCTGTACTGTTTCGAAACAAAACCCAAAAATCGGAAGTATGTAGTCATTGAAACACCTTGGAGCATGACAAGAACTGGTAGATAGGATTGTTATGCATAACACTACAAGGCGTGGAAAATATAAATCGTTGAAGAAAAAACATAAGTTGGTGAATGCTAAGATTGAAGTTGACCCTTCTGAGGTCATCAAAGCTCAAGATTAAACCCACATTTTAATCAGTAACCTTTAGAAATCGTTGCCGGCGGGAGCTATGGGGCTCAAGACTTACGCCTCCAGTTCCATGCCAAGGGTGGTGAGCCAGAAAAGTACCGGAGTATGGGGATATGAATGTAGACAACCGAGGTGACCGATTGTGTTTTTTGTTCTCCTTCTCTTTCTCTTTGTTGTACGGCCAAAAGTGCACTGCGATTATCCAGCACGCCAATCGAATCTATCGTAGTATTGTTAAGGCTACAATTACTTCCCATCCCCCAAAGAGACTTGCTTCTGTCCTGAGCTGTATAAAAGAATCGTCGGGGAATCGGGCTCGAAACATCAGAAGAATTACATAATTGTGTTAGCGGCGCTTGTCTGAATATCGGTAGTGTGTTGCAGATTTTGAAATTTGCCAAGATTTGTGCCATGCTATGATATTAGATGTAATTGAAGGATTAGGTCGATCTCATCTATGGATAAATGGATCGTGGACCTTGGCTGCCAGTTGCCATTACATAGCTAATAGTTGCATACGGGACCAAGAAAAGACGCGCGTGCATGTTCAACCCAGACATGAGGAACTAGGAAGTCTGTTTAAACTCAGAAACAAAGTTAGGCAGGTGGGAATTCGGAGCACAATCTTTTTGGTGATGATAGAGAAGGGCTCGAATCATTCTAATGCCATTTGCAGTGTAATTGCGAACTTGGAAGTCGATGGTGGTCGGATGATGCCAGTACTGAATTACGGAGTACAGGATCTTTTGGGCTTGGGCAACATTCGTTGTGACACCTGCCTAGACAAGTAAGTTTTGTAAAGCTGTATCGATGCAAATGTCTTTTTGGTTGATACTCGCAGCCACGATGTACTGCTGAGCTTGGCAGAGCTATAATTCTCGGTCCCGAACGAAGAAATGGGTCCGCCATGGATTGCGTATTAACGTGTCTATGCCACCCCTGATTGAAATCACACGCTTGCACCTCTTTCTTACTCGTTTTTGACTGCCGACGAGAATGGGGGTTAGAAGATTAACCTTATAGGCAATAATGTGGAATTCTACTTAGTCTCTCGGAACCGAAAAAGTTCGAGTATGGAGATGTTCTGGCTGAATTTTGGCATCCATAGGAGTTGAAGCCGTGGCGCAATTTGTGGCGTAAAAATTTAGCAGCTAGAAGTTCCAAGGTTACCTTGAGAGCACAGTACCTATGTCCAGATTACACTTTGTTGAAATTTTTATCATGACCAAATAAACATCAAAGAGTGAAGTTTTATTTCGCTTTTTACTACCGAGTTATTCCTTTTTGATCTCCTTCAACATCATTACACAGCACCTACCATCAAAAACAGTCATTCAGATTTCACTTCAGACTCATCTAATGTCTGTTGTTGCTACCCAGGTAGTCTTCTAGTATCTCCTCCCTCAAAACTTATTTCAAGAAGCTAATGATCTTTTTCAAAAAAATTCAGAGTCGATTTGGGTGCGCCAACATGGGCTGCTTGTTCGACTGATACTGATTGATTTGGAATGGAATCCGGGCAAAGATAAACACGCCAAAGCACAGAGAGGACATCTGCTACATGCAAGTATCTCTATCCATTTACATGGAATAGAGTAATGCATGCGTAAGAATCACTCCTGTTACCGTTATACTCTTACTTTATAGACCATTTTACGATAATATACGGGCTGGGGATCTTCTCGAGAAGGCCTAGGAAGTTGTCCTCATAGCAAGCAAGTGCATGCTATTGACACTTCTTCAGCTTCAGGGTCGATTCGATGACCGCTCAGATCATGTTAGATTTATGTTGACTCACATATTCAGCGAAGGTTCTTTGGACGTCATCGATCATTGATTTGATGCAAATTCTGCTGTATCTTCTAAACTTTATTCAAAGCGACCACCTTCTAGGTACCCACGATCTTAGGTGTTTCCCAATTATACGCAACAAGGTCTAGGAGATTTTGCTCGACTATATAGTGAGTGAATGCACTCTCCTCAATTATCACTTCCTTGTTATCTCGACTTTGAGATCAAGTTTGAACTCATGCGCTGTACAGCGTGCTACATCACTAGCACCGTGTTTATTCCATCAAACGTTCGCACCTCTCTTCTTTCCTCTCTTCTTTCCTGCAATGACTGGCAAGGCCTATGCAATAGTCTATTCTTCGACGTCATCTTCCTAGCTTTCTATACCAAGTATAAAAATCCGACGTCACCTTCACTGGAACTGTCTTCCAAGTAATAAATAACCTCAAAATAGGTAATCCACCAAATCCCACATATACCGCTTCACCAACCAGTTTTCAAAGCGACCGTAAATGCCAAGAATTTCATCGCCACAAATCTTCACCACAAAGCCAATTTTGAAGTTCCTTATTGTTTAAAAGTGTGCTTGATTCAAGGTATCAGGAAATCTGGCGTATTCTGCGGGGTGGCAGGTGTCAACACTCTTTCTAATACATCAAGTTCTGCTCCAATGTATTCCTAAGCATTTAACACATGAGTCGGTGCGTGCTATACAAGTAGGATTAAGCGGATCTAGCTCTCTAGTACGCATATGCATATATAATGTGTATGCACTTAGTCCTCTGTTAGAATACGTTCAATCGTTTTCTTCGATAGAGAGCAGCGTCAAGTTCATCTACATTATTGAGAACCTCCATCAAATGAGCCAAAAAAAGAAGGAAAAGAAAGAAGGAAGAGGAGGAAGAAAAAATAAAAAGAAAGAAGAAAAGAGGAAGAGAAGAAATGCTAACAACCCAAAAGTGCAGCATGGAATCCACACAACTTATATGCTCTTATCATTCCTCGACTAGATAAGCACACAGCAAAAGAAGTCCCAAACGAACATCAAGATGAAACGTACAGTATATTTAAGTTCGGACGAGACTTCCCGCAAAATCCGAATGAAATTTCATTTCATGTCCACCTTCAGAATCCAGATACAAGGTTCGCAAGGACCGATGAAACTTTAAATGCAACGTTAATCGGAACCTTAAAAAATGGTTTGAAAAGGGGCTCGGAGTAGGGATGGGCGAATTATATAATTTGGGGGTCGGTTATATAATTTCATATTATCATGCTTTTTGAGGCATATAAAATATTATGCCAAGCTTATGCACGTGTTTTTTGGGTCAATAAAACCATCAGGATGAATGAAAGTGGGTCGTTTTTGGAAAAAGTTTTTGATAGGTTCTAATTTTCAATTTAGTGTATAATTAGACCCAAAAGTCAGGTGCTAATCATGTGATTTCTATACTAACTATTTTCTTTTCAAAATAGCTTCAAAATAGCCTTTTATAGGATTTTTATAGGGTTTTATAGGATTTTGTGATTAGTCATATATATAATGCGATTTGACTAATATTATATATTATATTGATGTGACGAATATGCGATATTATATATCATCAAATCGCCCAACCCTAGCTCGGAGTAACCTTAAATGGAACGAGCTTTAAATGAAACTTTAAATACGAGTTGATATCCGAATGAGATTTGTACAGTGATGGAAAGGAATTTTCGGACGAAATGGTGAGAAAAAGTTTGATAGGCTACGAAGTGTAGAAACGAACGCGTCGTCCTTAAGATACCTTGATTGAAGGATGTGTGTATATGTGTAAGTTTGACCGAGAGTTGTGAAGCTTCAAGTGCGATATGCGACAAGAGAAGCGATACAAAAGAATGGTGAGATGAAAGGGGTCTTCGTAGAAAATGTACACTTGTATGATAAGATAACAAAGCATCGTGCAGCACACCAACTTCACAGATCAAGACCAATTTATCTTAGCAAAATTTTAGCATTAACATAGCATCATTAAGTTATACAACGTCTCCCCAAATAAACTAGGTGCCGTCAAAATCCATCCACCTAATTAAACCCCAAGAAATCTGTAGTACAAGTAACATCCAACGCGGTCTCATTAACATTAAGACAATAAGCCTTATCTACACCTTTAGGACTCAAGACGTTGATGTCACTTGCGACGATATTGTTGCAAACTGACTCGCTCGAACAAGCAAATGTACCAATCTGTGGTTGGTATTTGGTGCTAGTTTTTCCGGTGAAGTTTCTGAAAATGATATCGGTGATGGTGAGAGGAGAGGGGAATTCGAGACAGAGGGTTAGGTTCTTTTGACCGTAGCATTGGTCGACCTCGATGGCGTAATCAACGTTATCGATGTACATTGTGTCGTAAGTGATGTTGTGTACTCTGCCAGATCCTCCGCCTCCTGTGAGTGTGTTAGTTGTGTAATTGGCAGGTGAGCGTAGGGGAATATTCTTACCTTGGAGATCACCACTGAGTGCTGATGCGGTGTTTGGCCAAACCTTGATACGTGCACCGTTGCTGGCGTTGTGCAATGAGGTGTTGTAGACGTATACGTTTTCGACGATATCAAATTCTCCGGGATATTGACCGAGGGATCCAACGGAGATTCCGTGAGAACCATTGCAGAAAAGGTTTTGAACTAAGATGTTTGTGCTGTTGGGCTTGAAAGACACACAATCTAGAATTTGATTAGCAAGGTTTCAAAGTCCGGAAGGAAGGGTACTTACCATCTCCATTGTTGATGACAGAGTTCTGGATAACAATATTATCACTTCTGTATGTGTCCCATCCATCAGTGTTCTTTGCAGGGTTTTTGCTCGAGCTTCCTCCGGCAATGTTGATATTATTGTATACGACATTGCTTGAATTTGCAATGAAGTTGTAGTACTCTGGTGAATAACGTAGAACCAAATCGCTCAAGATAGAGTCCTTGAGTCCATCAATTCCGACAAGGACTGGTCTGAGTGTGTAGATGTCTTTGGCGTAAAGATCGTACCAGACTTGGCCATTTCCATTGAGGGTACCACCACCATACATAAAGACATCCTCTCCTCCAAGCTTGAAGAATGAGGTCACGTTTTGGAAGACGAACGGGAAGGCATTGGCTTGCCAATAATCTGTATCGTCCGAGAAGAGGATTTCACCCTGAATGTCTGCAATATTCATTAGTAAAAGAAAAACGCGTTGATTGGCGTAGTATTGGAAATTGCATACCGAGATCAATGTGCTTAAGGAAAGTCCAGTCCATTGCTGTGCCAACCAAGTACGTCACACCTTTACTGAAAATTACATGACCACCGTTGTTACACTCGTTAAGTGCGCTCATGATGGCAGGAGAGTCATCTGTTCCATTGCCGGAACTCTTGACATAGCATGTCTTAGTTCTGGCTGGCGGAGAAGGTGCAGGCGTCTGTGGAGTCTTGGGATGGCATTGCACGTTTGGCCTTGATGATGATGATGATGCGTGCTTTGGCTGACCTCTACGAGTGAGCGCTTGATCCAATGAAGCGTCTTGCAATGCAGGGTTTGCAACTGCAACTGCAACTGCAGCGGAAGCAATTGAAAGAACGGAGCTCAATTGAAAATGCATCTTGAAGTACGAAACCGATATTTCAGTTGCCCAAGTGATTGAAGAAGTAGCTTGGCAGTTTCCATAGCTATGCTCGGGGTCTGGTAGGACTTATATACTGCCCTGTCTCCAAATTAAATTGAGCATGAAAAGCCTCCATATTACTTTCAGGGGAATTAGGGAGATTCTATTTCTCCGGACTTGTTCCCTTGACTTGGGTTCGGTGACGAAGACGGTGAGCTCATGATTGGAGCATACGCCTGTCATTTCATCCCATCTTCAAGAAAATATGGAGATAATCTCGTCCCCAGATTATCAAGGGAAAACATGGGGGAATGAAACCCCGCATCAATTTGTAGCCCCATATAAGTTTTAATAAAATGTATTGGTTCATTTTGTTTTTTTCAGGTACAAGAAAGCTTCATCCTTGTTTTGAGCTCTCTTTGCACTTGATTATTGGTGGAACTCAATAACTTCTTCCGACCGGTGAGCTGTACCCTTGCGGAAGATCTATTAGTCAATGCTACCGGCCACGGTCAGTCTCAGAAAGTGTCACTTGTATTTATTAGGGTTCTGGATATTGCTCGGAACTTCGGACGAGATATTCTGAAAGCGACGGGTGGAGATTAAAATCCACAAAGGGACCGAAGCACTGGAGCACTGATCATGCGAAGTATCACGTGACTGTCTGGACATGGTGTATTCCATCTCTGCCTTTTCTCATCATACTTCTCTAGTCCTCGCCATTCAAGAGCTCGCTTTGTTACGTATCACGACTCTACTTAGCTGGTAGCAAGCGTAAAGCAATCGAGAAGATATTGCCGAGCTTACAAAAAGGAAAACAGGCAGCCAGATCTCTTGCAGGCAGAACATTAAGCTTCAGGGGTAGTCCAATGTGAATGTGTCAAATCGTTCAAGTGTTTGCGTTTGACAAATCCTTATCATGCTTTCGGAGGACATACCGTTTATCTCGTTCAAATTCCGGCGCTGAATAGGGGCCTTATCTCGTATCGTTTTTGGAAACAGCATCGCATGTTTTGGGTGGATACAGCGGGTACTGGGATATCTCCGGTATGGTTTGGTGCAGCGATGTTTCATTCTTCTTCAATTCACACTATCTAACGGGTAGATCTAGCGGAATCATCCGGGAAATGCAAGATGTAATGCGATGCAGAGGCGGCTGATATGCCGACATGCTCGTCGATCCCCTATCAATGACCCACCTTTCAGTAGTAAAAAAAAGTATGAAGGGAACTGATCCGAGTCGCCTGTTGATTCGAAAACAAGCTCTTGTCATATTGCGGAAGATAAATGCAGAGCGTCAGAGCAATTTTTCATCATATTGAGGTCTGCGCTCATGATGGGTGCATGCACAGGAAACGAATCCTGATGACAGGATAGAGCAAACAGGTATCCTGTATATTAACGGCTCGGACCTTGATGCCTGTAATGAGCAAGAAAAGAATCCTCAAGGGCTCGGTATTCGCGGGAAGTGTCATGTTTTGTAATCTTCGAAAAACCGTTGTGGCTGCTGCCTCTGCACGCCTCTCTTCTCAACACTCATTATGTGGACTTGGCGCGTTGTTTCTTTCGTCAAAACATTTCTGAATGACATCGAAAGGATTATTCTTCGCCGATAGTCACGATCAATCCCTCTTCCGGCTTCCCGATCGGTCTGAGTGCATGCTGGCAAGAGCGAAACCGGTATCTTGCTCGTGTGGCTTTCAATGATACCTGTCACCACCACCACCAGAAAGGTCGGCACGTTCGTTTGATCGAAAACGGAACTTGATTCAAGACGGGAGGCGTATTGCGGATATTCTGCATGTCGAATGGTGTGTATATGCTCTCGAAGTCGTACTGTAGTTGAGTTCCTAGCCATCGGATGTTGTAACAGAGCTCGTTTTTCAATTCCGTCGAGGGACTCACATAGTAGGACGTGGTCCAGTAGCCCGGTTCCTGGAGCTGAGAATCGAGATGAAGAGCTCTTGATGGAAATGCTGTGCTCGAAGGAGTGTACACGTATTAGCATAGGCTCATGGTAATGGTAAAGATATATCTTGGTAGGTACGCAATATACTACGAAGAAGGATTTCGATGACATTTTCAACATCCTCGAAGCAAGGTGTGGTTACAATATACAGACAGGGACAAGGTCCTTTGAACGCTAACAATGCTAAGGACCGTCTATTGGACTTTTGATAGTGGAGTATGCTGCATGCTTATGAGTTTACTGGATCGAAGGATGGCGCACACTTTCATCCGGCGGGGCCACCGCATAGAATCTAACCAACAAATTTCCCAGGATATCGGTGGGGTGATGCATTTCAACCTCAATTTAATCACGGGAATTCTTGTTGAGAAGTGTGCTTTGAGGCAATCGAACCCTACATCCCCTGCCCTCGAGCGGATCAAAGATGCAGAGAGGCAATACAGATCAATCCTACTTCATACTACAGGGAAAATGATGATATCTAGGCATATAGCCGGCTCAGAATAGCATGGGAACCACTACCCGGAATGAAGACTTCATTTCTCAAGCAAATCACACAACATTTCAAAATTCTGAAGAACACCAAGAATATGACCCATCACAATAATAAACAACTTTGGCATACCCCTACATACAAACGCTCATGATATTTGAAATTTTGCCGCTGATGCCGTTGATCAAAGAAATTACAGATCCTGGACAATTACCCTCCAGACAAGCTATAGCAAATAGACAAGGAACCGCAACATTAGATCCCAGTACATACAATGAACGAACCCCCAGCAATGCAATGTTTTGATAGCAAACGAAATGTGCATCTATTCGATGTATCAAAGCAGATCTGCCACCCTTACAATACACAACAAACACTTTGATACTCTGTCCTCCAACAAATTTTCATGGTTAGTATTGGTTGCTCGCGCACATCGGATGAACTTGCATGAACTGTGGATTTTGACTGTCCATAAAAAGCGGGTCTTGGTCATCGGGAAGCACTCCTTGGCAATCCTCAAATCTGTAGAGATCGTATGCAGGATTGTAGCTTTCCTCTTTGATAACGGGGCTGTAAGTTCCGGAGCTCTCTGGGGCAGGTGTCAGAGGTAGTCGTCGTGGAGATCTTGGAACAGACGTCACATCTGAGGAATGGAATTGGCTACCTGGATATCTTGCCGGTTCAGATCTAGAGGGCGTTGGGAGCATTCGTCTTGAACTTGAATCATCTCTGCCTCTTTGACGTTGTAACTTTCCCTTGCTAGCAGAGTGAAAAGAAGGCTTTCTGATTGCGTTATAATTGTGCCGACCTAGATAGTTTTGACTTGGAGTGCTTTCTGCTTTGGCGTATTTCTTGTTGCCTGTCCCCTTGCGATATCGAGTTGTAGACTGAACTCCATCTCTGATTGCGAAATCTTCCAAAACCCACTCAGTGGACTTTTTCGTTTCCTCTCCAGGAATTTTCCGTTCTGTCTTTTTGAATGCCTGCCATTGAAGATATTAGCCCCAGAATTGCTGAGCATACTTGATCATAGAATCTTACAGCGTTCATTGATAGATTGTGACGAATGCTATTCATCCAACCTTTGGTATCCGAGCTCCCTTTAGTAGTGTTTTCTCTGAACCAACGATAGATTTCTTGTAGAACCATGGAGTGATCTGGGGCACTCATCAATGCTCGATAGATCAATTTTGCGTATGGTTGCTCATCTGCGCCATGACCATCAGCGTCGACATCCATTGCAGTAGGTTCGCGCGAACTGTGTCCATCTTCTTCAGAGCATAAGCTGGAAGGAGATGTAGAGTTGATGGCTTTGTGTGTAGTATCCATCATGATGCAATCGTCAGATCTTTCGCCATGGTCAGCCCTCGATGATACCATAGATCCAAAATTGTCGCGAGTATCAAAAGGATATACCGGTAATGTCATGCCCATATTAGCATAAGGTTGTTGCCAGGTAGTTCGAGGAACATTATCGAAAGCTTTCAAAGAATTTTGTTGTTCAAGACCAGAAAGATCAGCTGGACAATCGTAAGAGTAACCATTCTGGTCATCCGCAAAGACAGAAGTTAATGGCGCTTGATGGGACCAAGATGTTAAGTTTTGAGAGCCCGGCATTTGCGATGTAGTAAGGTTATAGTCATTATTGGGCATAGGAGATGATGTTGAACTAGCCATGAAGTACTGCTCTTGACCCATTCGAGGTAGACCATCAAATGATGGGAATATAGCATCAGCTTGCGAATGTGCTGTTGTTTCAATATTCTCCGAAGCTTGAAAGTCCCAAGGCAAATCGTGATGTTGAGAATTCTGCTGAAAGTGATCGGAATCCATATTGAGGACCATCTGAAAACAATCTACTCAACCTCGCTGCCGATGATGTGTCTATTGAACGAAGTGCTACCCTTAAGATGGATTGCTCTATTGTAAGACGATAGTGTCTGTCTTCTCGGAGAATTCAAAGAATTGGGATAGCAAAGGACTTCGGGTGTAGTTATTCAAAAGAGGAAATCTAGAACGCAAGAAGCAGTGGGAACATTGAAAGCTTTGTGACTATGGGCATAGAGTCCTGAAAAGACAAGGCCATAATGCAGGAGAGCGAATGCCAGCACATGGATGCAAGCCTTTGACGTGTGTGCAAACAGGCTCCCCGGACAGCAACATTCCAAAAACAGTGTGAGCTCTACAATGACCTATTCATAATAGCAATCGCTTGTTGTTCTGCTGTAAATAGGTGGGCTGCAGTTCTGCACATCCAGGTAATACAGAGAGAGAGGAAAACGGGATGCTGCATAACGCTAAAGATTGTGCCAGGAGAGGCATTGTTTGAATTTAAACCTAGAAGAGTATTCTAATGTTTCACCGTCAGCCTCGAGCGGGCACAATCACAAAGAATTGTCTGGTTCAATTGTTCTTGATTCTTATTCTAGAAGGAACACAGAGATGTTTTTGTTTGAAGTAACTGGAATATGTGGAAATCAGCCACCCGTAAAACCGTTTCGACTTACTCAACCAGCAATCTTAACGATACCCACGAACGAAAGCCGAACCGGAGTTTTGTGTCAAGTTTGAAAATGCAACTACTTTGCATTGAGAAAAAGGTCTAGTAAACCTCTAGATTCCATCCCACTACTGCTTTAAACTGTGCCAATAGTACCAAATTATTACTATTAAAGCTATTAAGAAAGGTCATCAGATACACAAAGAATGTTAATAATCTCAATTGTATTTTCCGGTGTTAATGCTTCCATGTATAGATAGTTTTGATGATCTCATTTCATTTTCCCGTGTTAACGCTGCTCTCATGCATCGAATCGTTGCCGTCATGTACGTAGTATTATTTTTGACGGAAGTACAAGGTTCCTTTGTGTGATATAACACACGTGGAAGAAATCTGGGGATGTTTATTTGTGAGCTCAATGATTGCTAAAGAAAAATCTCAACCAAATTGATACTTCCCAAACTCTGGTGCCACAATGAGGCAAGCAGGAAACTCGCGAATCGTGATTACTTTCGGTAGTATATCTGAATGACAAATTAGCTTCAATCAAAAAGTGGGAATATTGTGTTTTATTATGATTGTTACTGACCTTTTTGAATTGAAAGTGTAATTGGAGAATACCCTGGTGAACATGTCAGCAAGGAACAAGCTTCAGAGACAGAAGTAAGGTTTAGAGGTTGTCACTGCATGACGGGTAGACAAGATGCAGAACAACAGAACATTAAAGCCACACACATACCTTGTCAAAAGTACTGCGAAAGCCACGATCTTTCTTCGCAGAATAATCCCATTCTTTATCAACAATACGGAAGGCTATGTCCTCATAAGGAGGTCCCGCTATGAAGCGAAGTAGGCAGGTATCTTCCTCTCCAGCAGGCGCAAATGATTCTCCTCTCTTTCGACCATGTTCCCGAATGATTCGAAATGTTGGCGCCTTCGCTTTGTCTATAAGATCGGGATAGAATATGTTGAATTTGTAACCCTGGACAACTTTTGGAGGGGGATTGTCATGATCGTAATGAGTTTGATTGTATTTGTTCCACTCGTAACCCATTTGAACTCGATTGAAATAACGCGGTTTCCTTGGCCTGTATTTGTCTGCCCATTGAGGAGCCGAAGTTGTTGTAAGACTTTCCTCCGCGGTGAAGATTTCCTCATTCTCATTCACCCCTCTTGCCACCTCTCTATCGTACAATGCTTTTGTAGCTTGTGAGAAATCTTCAGTGACTACGGCGGAAAAGCGCTGTGTACCTGGAGGCGCATTGTTGACAGATATGCTGGGTTTACTGACGGAGCCCGGAATACTCTTCTCTGGACCAAGTGGACGTGAAGGCACGTAACCTAGCTTCAAGACTTTGCGGCGCTCGGCCACGATCTTTTTGAGGAAATCAGATTCGTCAATAATCTCGCCTGATTTGTCTTCAGTCCGTAGTTTGAGTAACGGTTCTGGGTCATGCTTTTCTGAGTAAACAAAGTGAGGCTGACGACGAGATGTTTGCACGGCGATCGAATTCGGTATTTCGGATCCCTCTTCAACCACTGGCGTTGGGCCAGACAATAGCACCTGTAACTTCTTTTGAACACTTTCTGCCTCCTCTTGTTGTTCTTTTCGTAAGGCGTCGAGTCGATTGTCCAGCACAGATTGATACACCTTCTTTAGTTTAGCTTTCGCCTTCCAAATTAATAAACTCTTCAAGAGTTGTTCCCAGTAATCTGTATCTATTGGTTCGTTCGAACGGAGCTTTGCTCTAATCTGTCCCTCCAAACTTTCCAGCTGCTCATATGTTTTGGGTCCTAGTAGTTTGTCCACATCTGCAGCAACGGAGCTTACAGCTCGTTCATTAGGACCGACTGGTTTTAATTTCTGACGGCGCTCATGACAGATAATTTGCATCGTCTTCCAATAATCTTGATTCTTTTTGTTCTTCTCCAAAGTAATGTAAGAATTAATGTCGGTCTCCAGCTCTCCTAGTTGCGCATCATTGAGCCCTTCAAACACACCCTCTGGGTCTACAACATCGAGTTGGACCTCTTCTTCGTCGGCATCAAGGAGATCTTTATCGGAATCGATCACTCGAAGAATGACCGCCAGCCAGTCAATTGGTTTCGCTCTTCCTTCTCTAACCCTAATGTCTGCCTTCTTCTTTGCTTGCTTTAAAACAAAGGTATCCTCTTCTGCTACCCATTTCTTTGATTGTTCGTCTTCGAGACTTTGGTTGTTGCGATAAGGTCTGGAATTGGAGTTGCCTGCCGGTCGTTGTGGTTTTGAAACTCGATTGGCATCGTCGCGACGAGGAGATGTGATATCTCTTGCCCGAGGCGCACGACCTTCCAACATGGCTCTTCGTCCAGGATCCATGGTTCGTGAGAAAACTGTAAGATTTGGTTATTTGGGGAGTAGGGAGTTTGTAAGTTATCGAATCACTTTGAAGGGAAAGAGCTCAATTATGCTTGCTGCCTTAGGTTTTCTCTTTCAATTCAACAACAAGCTTGGACATAATTTTGAAGATGTCACATGATCAGGGACTCTGTAGGGCTTATCTGTGTGCATTAGCGTCTCCCCGCGTGCTCCACTATCACTATCACTGTCTACTTAATTATCAAGCACTTTCCTTCCTTTCCTTCTTCACTCTTCATTGCTTTTGACTCTGGCCATACACATCCTAATGTATTGCATTATCATACAATGTGATAAATATAGGAAGACGAAGGTTTTTCCAAGTCTTACACAGATGTCACTCGTGCATTTGAGGTCCCGCAGATTTCCAGTGCGCCAGTCGGGAAATACACATCAAGAGTAAATAAACCATACTATTCAATCGATCAAAGACTGCTAAAATATATTCCAGACATAATTCGGGAGGAAGGCCGCGCTTGTATTCGGAGTTAATAAACCCCTCACACCCAATATTGATTCACAGAGCTCGAGTCCGTGGCAATAGTTGACGGGAGAATACTCGATTCATGCGTAGTTTCAGTTCGTTCGGAGCAGTGACGTACATTGCATCCATTGCAAATCTTCTAGTGAAGCCAGAAAAGTTTATCAAAGGAGCTTCAAAAACGTCATTTGCTAAGCGACAACTTCCATGATAAATTACTAAAAGCTAATCGATAACACTAAAGTTGATGCCATCCAAGACATGAGTATCAGAGATAATGACACCGAAGACAAGTCCTCATGACAAGATGTGTGAGAGGAAATGCCGTGGTAGTTCATGGTATCAAAAGGGATCGATCCTATGAAACAAGAAGCTACAAATTAGAAGAGCATTCTAGTACTGATCCAAAGTATCTGAAAATGCTTGTGTAGGAAATCTACATCATCATGTAACGAGGCGAGATTAAGATAATAGATATATGATTCCAATCTAAACACTACTCAAATCCAACAACACCACCATTATACAAATAGATATACAAATTTCCCAGTAAAACTCAGAATTAAATCAGGATATCAAATGCAAGCAAATCTCACTATAATTTACAAACCACCCACCAGCTTTCGACATCAACATATGATCTGGCTAGATAGTAATTAACCAATATGCTAAAAAAACCCCCCGCATCAGACCTCTAAACCTCCTTCCCACATCCAGATCCCTCCCGCGCCCTAGACCACACCCTCCATTCTCCCAATAAAATCCCAACTAACACACCCCTGATTCCACGAACCCAAGTCACCTTGCCTATCTTCTCACATCTCCCTCTCCTCTCCTCTCCCCAGAAAAACAGCAGAGAGAGCAAACCCCACAAACGCTAACGAAAGCAGATAACACTCTTTACTTTAACTAACCATCCCCTTACGATATTCCTATGAGTAATATTTCAACATAACTGAACCTATCAGAAATCAGAGATCAGAAATCCAATCTATTTTATTTTCAAAGATCTAATTCGCATGTGAGATATCTACTAGGTAGGTACTATAGGTTAAAGAATAATCTCATTCATCAATCTCATCCTATATACTCACATCATAAAACAAACACAAACAAATACACAAAGTACCTACCTACCTACCTACCTAGGCCCTAGAGAACCAACAACCAAAATCAAGTTTTGTATATATCTTCTTATGCGAAGTACTCATAACCATGAAATTAGCATCATTTCGATATCTGGATATTGAATTGCATTCAGGAGGCGAATTGAGAATGATGAATTCTACTCCCTCGTGCTCCTTGATTTACGCGAGTTGTGATTTATTTTGTCATATGCAAGTATGTATGTATGTATCCCCAAATATGCTTTGATGAAATGAATCCCGTGTCCGCAATACCGTGGTTGCCATACTTGATACATCATTCACGACAAGATTTTCAGATGTTTTGGAAATAGTAGTCATTCTTGCGATGATGAAGTAGTATGTATGTTTTGCAAAATTAAAATCTTTCGGTATAATACACTGCACCCACAATCCTCCCGCAAATCATCAATCTTTCCATCATCTATCATCTATCATGTTGAATCCCCAAATTTCTCTCCATCACAAACTAGTCCTCCAACGGCGGGAATTTTCTCGCAAAATGACTGGGACATTCATAGCCACCTGGATTGTTATCCAGATACTTTTGATGATACGCCTCCGCATCCCACCACTCTCCCGCCTTCAGAATTTCTGTGACTACTCCTCCCTTCCACCATTTCTCATTGACTTGCTTAGTAATTTCCCGCGCTTCTTTCTCTTGTTCTTCATTGTGGTAGAAGATTCCAGATCGATATTGAGAGCCCCTGTCTGGACCTTGTTGATTTGAAGTTGTAGGATCGTGCATGCGGTAGAAATAGGTTATCAATTGGCGGTATGTGATTTGTGCAGGATCGTAGTGGATTTGAAGGGCTTCCGCGTCTAAATTGGGTATTAGTATTGATTACTTCAGAAGAAGACAAATACGAGAGGAAGATATAACATACGTCCAGTAGAACCGGAACACACGGCTCTGTAACTAGGGTTCTCGGTATCGCCTCCAATGTATCCAACACGCGCGTCGTACAAGCCCTTTCCGCTAAACTCTTTGCGATACATGTGTTCGACACCCCAGAAACAACCTGCGGCAATGGTACATTTTTGCGCGGTTTCAGGGACGGATACTTGTGATGCGGCGGGGGTAACGGAGAAGGAGGAGGAGGATGTAAAGGGCCGGATGAGACGGTTGAGGAAATTGGGCATGGCTGCCATTATTGTGAGGAATATGAGGAGGAGGAAAAGTTTGAAAGAGATAGGTTGGGAAGGCAGATTGTAGAATTTGAGATTATCAAAGATCTCTAATATTGGGTTGGAGGACTTTATTCGGATTCAGTGGTATGGTTGTTTTTGTAAATAATGTACTGTAGGTATGCGCAAAGACAATTGAGGATATAAGTATCAATATAAACAAATCTGAAGTGGCAATTGTATCAAGTCGTCATGGTCAATGGAGGGGTTGAACAATAAGAAAAAGCTGGCCCAAGCTTCCACGAATCTGACAAATCATGACTTTGTCCAATAGGAGAGCATGAAAAGTTCAATTGATTCCACATGCTGAGAGCTGTGCAAGCACGCAATTATTCCAAATCTTGTGGCAACTTTCCTGTTATGGTTGACCGCCATAGGATTCTGATTTCAAAGTGACTCCAGCTGTAAATATAAATCAAAATATCTGTGAGATCTGACTGAACATGGGAATTGCGATCACGAGACCCGGTAACCTCAAATGAGGAATTAAAAATACCTGAAAGAGCGCAAAGCTTTACAATCTCTAACAGACTAGGACTACCAGGTAAGGATGAAAGCTCAAAGGAGCTCTTCGCATCTCTAGCCACATACGTCAAGATATTGTACCACCAAACTAAAGATGATCGATGCGCACTTTGAGGTGTGAACACCACGTTTCGCTCTCGGGAACCTACACATCGTTTCGAAGAAGGAGAAGGAGAAGTTTCTAATTCCATGCCTCAACTCAAGTCTTACAGATGCGCCACAATGCCGAATTCCAAATGCCAAATGCCAAATGCCTCACTCCGATCTCGCTATGGTGGTTATACCTCTCTTGACTCCACTCAAGCAGTAGCTTTCCGCTTGGTCCACTGGTGGTCATTTTTCTTCATGCCGTGAAACAATGCTACTGTAGTCAGAATGAAAATTAGAGTTCATGGAAGAGATATCGAAGTAGATGAAACGAAGCGATAGGTTGGAGTCCCGCACGCAGGTTCGCGGAAACGGATGTTAATGTGAATGAGATAATAATCTCCATCATATCAGGGACGGTCCGAATCGAACTTCCCTTGTGAGTTCCTGCAGATCTCCTTTAATATCTTTTTATTTTTGACAAGGTGTAGGAGACCAATTAGGATACAAACTGTTCGCTTGACGAGAGCTCGGGAGTGCTTGAAACATTTCTTTTCGTGTGGAAGAGGTTTTTACCTACCTAGTATGTATGTACGTGCCTGGCTGCTTGAGACATGATAGACGGGGATTTTCTGTAGATAACGTTGATTGCAAAAGGAAAAAGGAAAAAGGAAAAAGATACTCTGTGGATTTACACGACTAAAGTTCCCCTTTTCCGAAAATCGGGAGACTGCTGAATGGGGGCGAAATGAATGAGGGATGAACGTTACATACATATCGCGGCGCATGCGAACATGATCTTAAAGTAGTATCACATCAAAACGGTTCTTGTGATTGATATCCGATGATATAAGGAGATGATGGAGGAAAAAGTCTATTTCTGATGTTACACCCATCAAGCACCTTTTCGGTTGAAGATACATCCGTAATAAAAATAGGTGATTTGATGCAGCATGGATTATTCAAAGGTCGTCGTCTCCTCCGAAGCACCTATTAGCGATTATAAGTATCATGTAATCTTACCTAACTAGTATCACACCTCTCTGATCTATTTTGCCTGATATATGCATAGAAAGTTCCTTGGAAAAATGAATGTATTTGGTCTCATCTGGTAGGATTCTATGGATTCCCGGTAGCATGCCTCGGCAGGAGTAATGGTACATATGTAAGGCTGAAGAACCACTGACTTTAAGCTTCTAGAAGATGATACTTTGAGGAATGCATGGTAAGCGATTCAGGCTTACAACTTACACAAGCCATGGATACCTAGGTTGGCTTACGTAGAGACCCCTGAATGCATTTCTTGGATATTCTCACCGCGAGATGGATTTTAAAGTTATAAAGTAATAAGATGATGAGATTGTGGATGATGAGAAAACAACAGAGCTGAAGATTGGCTGACGGATGGTGAGAATAAAGAAAAGGGAAAGGGTATCTACGTATGTCTGAGTGGGCAAATGATTCATGAAGGAAGAGTTTTTATACGAAGAGGCGAAGAAGCGAAGAGGCGAAGATTGTATGTGTGTATGACCTACGATACTCCCTTGGTAGATACTAAACTCATAAGTACTTGAGTACTAGGTATCTAGTTGAGTAGATCTGGTTACAACAGGAGAATACAAATACATAGTGCCTAGGGAGCTAGGGAGCTAGGTAGAATGGAGACTTCGATATGGATATTTCAACATTCTGATTTCCCCTTCATTCTATTAACGATTCGTCTAGGATTGAAAGATAGATAGATACCTACCCATCTATCCATCTATCGACTGCCACCAGGTCTATCTACCTAGTATCTACGATACCTACCCACGTAAACACTAGCTTCAATTAAGATTAGAAAATTCTCCGAGCAGAAAATATGTTCATCTTGATCTCTTTGCAGGGAATCCGTTGCTTCTGTTTAGCTAGCACGATAGATGCCACATGATACATGATACATCGACATCGACATCAACATCGTAGCAAAGGAATCTTTCATCACTTTATGATGGACCATGGACTGTAATCATTCTCTCTCTCTCTCTACATACCCCCTACCTAGTAAACCCCCCGGAAAGGCCTAATAAAAGTGGTTGGAGAAGAAAAAAAGAAGCGAATTGAAATCGTCATAGCGCGTAGCAGCCCACCAAAAGGCAAAAGAGAGCAATCAAGAAAAAACCTACCAGTACCAGTATCATTATCATTATCATTATTCATTCCCATTCACGCCAACCATACATTTAATACATACATACACCAATACACCCACTATTGTAATCCCTTCTCATTGATCAAGGGCCTTTCGCGAGAAAAGGGGGACAGAATAAAAGAAGAAGCGGTCCCAAATCCCCAACTTATAATTCCTCCAGTCGAATCGAATTCCCCCCTCAATTATTGGTGATTAAAGGGTCTTTGAGTGCTAGGAGCCAAACCAAATACATGCTCCATTTCCATTTCAGAGCTCGTCGATCATAGAGCGCTCCGTGCATTATACTTTCGTTCAAAGTCCTATTGATCTTGTCTTTCCTTCACCGTGATTGTAGATTGTTTCTATTTCTTACCTCATGTTCTACTCTCTCATCTTGTGCGTGCGCTGTCAGCTTCATTGAAGAAAGATTCTTAGAAAGGTAGCTTTTCTTACCCCTCCAGTTATAGGATCCTAGGAACGCAATAGTAAGCCATCTATTCTAACATCTGGTGCTGTCCGCCCGCCCAGCTTTTTGGATATCTTTCATACAGGTATCCAATGCCGTTAACGATGTATATAATAGCTGACCAAATACTTCACAGACTTGTCCGACGACACTTCTACGCGTTATATCATCTGCAGACAAAGAAAAATTTCAATTTGAATTAAAGCTCTTGTACATATCGCAATTCCTCCACGAGAACATCTACAACCTGAACTACCATCCACGAATTCCCCAACCCTCTTTGAGTGTGGTATTCGAAACCAGTGAACCTGCGAATTGCATAACGATAATCTCTCCAAGTAATCAATCATCCCCGATTTTGATATTGCCCACTTTGGCAAACCTACATGCAGGACGGCCACTAGGCCGCAAGGTACCCACATGAGCTTCTGCGAGATCGTAGCTTGCTAAATACACACACATCATGAGTAGGAGTCGACGGGGTGCTGGCTCCTTCAGGACCAATGGCGCAGCTATTCCAGACTCGCTATCCTTGATCCGATCATTCAACATCGAAACCAATCCCGCTCGACCTGTACGACCTTCTCCCCTCACAGCTTCGACAATTCCAGATATGCCACTCGACCTTGTTGATCGCATACGCTCCTTTCCTCTCTTTGTTTCAGCTCCCGATTCCTTCCTTGCAGCTATCGGAAAACATCTTCGTCCTCAGGTCCATTCGCCTCACGATCATGTATTGACTGAAGGAGATGATGCAAAAGCCATGTACTGGTTAGTACGTGGGGCTGTGGCAGTCACATCTCGAGATGGAGAAGCTACATACGCAGAACTAAAGCCTGGTGCTTTCTTTGGCGAGATTGGAATATTAATGGATGTACCCCGGACCGCTACAATTATAGCAAGAACAAAGTGCTTGTTGGTGGTGTTGAAGAAGGAAGATTTGAGAGCTGAGCTTCCAAACTTTCCTGAGATGGAACAAGCGATTATGGAAGAGGCACAGGAACGATTGACAATTTTGAATAAGAAGAGAAGGGAAGGCGGATTTGGCCCAAAACTTGTCTCCACCGAGCTTGTTTCTAGAGGTGGCAAGATCGCACGAGAAGCTGCGCCAGGGGAAGTGTCTACTGGTGAAGTAGGTGTCATTGAGAAGGGAGTGGTCATCAATAAGAAGAAGCGAAAATCCCCAAGTCCAGGCATAATTGAGGATCCTTCAGCTGGCAGTGCGCTGGGCAGTGGACTGGTCAATGTCAGGAGAACACTCAAGGAATTACCTTTATTCTCAACTTTACCGCCAGAAATACTTCACTTTCTTGGGTTGAGCGCCACGCCAAAGGCATACCCACCGTTCACGGATATTATTGTACAAGGTTCAAGTGGCAATGAAATTTACTTTATTGTTAGAGGCGAGGCGGAAGTTATACATGAAAGTTCCAATGGACACGCTGGACTATCGCCTCAAGGCACAAATGGATCATACATCAGACCAAGACTGAAAGCCGGACAATACTTTGGAGAAGTTGTCAGTTTGTCTTTGGCTCCCCGGAGAACAGCTACTGTACGATCAATCACTTCTGTGGAATGTTTGATGATCGGTGGAGAAGTTCTTGAAGAGTTGTGGAGAAGATGTTCGCCAGATATACGGAAACAAGTAGAGCTGACAGCGAAAACTCGAATTGGAAAACCCGAAGACGAAGATGTCATAATGAGTGATGCTGAATCTCCAACTATCAATGATTTAACCATCAATAACAGTCGACCTAAACATCAAAGAAGGAAAACATTACCACAAGTTACATTTACCCCTTCGAAACCTGCAAGTCCTCATAAACCTATTCATGTTGAGGATAGTGGGGTGATGGAACCTATAGACCCAGATCCATTCCTCAGTGTAGATATGGACAATATGAGGGCGAGATCGCGAAGAGGTTCTTGGGCACCGCCTGCTCCTGAGACGCCACCACCAGATGATAGATCTTCTGGCCCAAGAACCAGATCTAGATCTCAAACACCCACACCTGCAAAATTATCACACGCAATCACTCCCCCAGAATCAGCTTTTCGGCCAAAAAGACCTAAGATTTTCGAGCGACGTCCAAGTCAATTTAGTCAGGGAATATTACCGGACGCAATTTTAATCCACATTTTCTCATATTTAGACATCTATCAATTGATGAGATTACGCCTCGTATCTCTCCACTGGTCAACTCTCCTAAGTACCTCACCAAACGTTTGTCAAAATCTTGATCTATCACTCTACAACCGCAAAATGACCAACAAAGCCCTGATCGAATGCATCTGTCCATTTGTTGGCCGTCGTGCCCGTAGCATCAATATCAGCAACTGTTTCCATATAACTGATGAAGGATTTGCTGCAATTTACTCCCAATGTGGCCCCAATATCCAAGTCTGGAAAATGAAGTCAGCCTGGGACGTAACTGCCAACGCCGTCTTGGAAATGGCCAACAGCGCTAAAGAGCTCGAAGAAATCGACCTTTCTAATTGTCGCAAAGTATCCGATAATCTTCTGGCCCGTATCGTCGGTTGGGTTGTAACCGAACCGATTGCCCCTCAAGCCTCTCTTCGTCAAAAAGCTGCAACTTTCGTCCCACCGGTTGGGACTGTAGTCGGATGTCCAAAGCTCAAACGTCTTACTTTATCATATTGTAAACATGTTACAGATCGATCGATGGCGCATTTGGCTGTTCATGCACACCAGAGGCTACAGAGTATTGATCTGACGAGATGTACAACGATTACAGATAGTGGATTTCAACATTGGAGCATTTATAAATTTGCAAAATTGGAAAAGTTAATTTTGGCGGATTGTACTTATTTGACGGATAATGCTATTGTTTATTTGACGAATGCGGCAAAGGGGTTAAAAGAATTAGATTTGGTATGTTGAGCTTTCGCGACTCTCTGTAGTAATTCCACTAATAGTCATATCTAGTCATTCTGTTGCGCCCTCTCGGACACCGCAACCGAAGTTCTAAGTCTCGGTTGTCCCCAACTCCAATCCCTCAAACTCTCATTTTGCGGCTCGGCAGTCTCAAATTCATCGCTTCGATCTATCGGTCTCCATCTTCTTGAACTCAAGGAACTTTCTGTAAGAGGGTGTGTGAGAGTTACGGGGGTAGGGGTGGAAGCTGTTGTAGAAGGTTGTAGTAAGTTGGAGATCTTTGACGTTAGTCAGTGTAAGAATTTAAAGGGGTGGCTGGATGCAGGAGGAATCGAAAGATGGAAGTCGAGATGGAGTCAGAGTGGCAGGAGGGAGACTGTAGGGAGGCGAGGTTTCAGGGGGGCAGTAATGCCTAGAAATCTAAGTGTACGGAAGGGAAGGGGAGATTTGGTCTTTTGGGTTGAAAA